CAGCCTAAGGAGCACCAGCTGGTCAGCTGACACATGATGCCTTTTCTCTAATCCCCTCCCTGTACCTCCTCTCTCTTTCCCAACACTGGGTGGCAAGGGGAAGCCAGGGAAGGGGAGAGAAAGCCCATTCCACTCCTTTCTCAGAGCAAAATCTGAGCCACAGAGGGGGAACAGCTCTGACTTTAACTGAGATGGACGTTTTGAGTTGAAGTGGACTTTTAAATATCTGAGAATGAGTATGCAATCATCTATTCAGTACTGCCAAGATGGCTGAAGGTTGGAGAAGGCTGTGGAATTTCCTCTCGCATCATTAGAGGACAGTCAGGAACAACCTGACAGGTGCCTTCCAAGGCAGATCTTCAAAGGGAGTGAAAAGACAGGTGGTTTCCATTTGCACCTGAGCAGGTTCATCCCTGTTCAGTAAAAGGACTCATGGAGTACGGACTGCATGTCAATTTCATAGTTATTATGATGTTTAAACAAGTTTATGTCCATGAAAATGATCCACGTAGTCTCTGACAGAGAGTAACCCAGCCTTGAGAAAATATCTGAGAGTTGCTATGCATACACAATATTCTGTGTGTGTGTGTGTGTGTGTGTGTGTGTGTGTGTGTGTGTGTGTGTGTGTGTGTTGGTGCACAATGAACAAGTCCTACTGGAACTTGGGGTAGAAAATACAAAGCAACTGGCTATGTAACATGTAGTATTATAGAGCAGGTGGAAGATGGACAGGTAGCAGTGCATACAGCACAAGTATGCATACGCATATGATATGAGTACATAACATGTGAGATATCTTCAAGTGCTCATGGAAAATCATATTATGAAAAAAACTATGCCCGATTTTTTTTTTTGCATCAAAGCAAACATATCTTTTCAGTCCACATTCCAGAAACGTTGACATTCTCTTCATGCATAGTCAAGTAGCAAACAATGCAATGGAGCAAATGAAAGCATGGTGAGGAAACTGCGGAGGTGGGAGGGGATGGAGGGGATGCCAGATCCTGATGGAGCACACTTGGAAGGGCACTTCATGGTTCCGAAAGCCACCCTCACAACACGGTCTCATTTTATCCCTAGGAGAATCTTGAGAGAATTATTCTTGTCTAACTCTAAGGAAAATGGGAGTTCAGGGACTCCAAGTTGGGTGACCTTTCATTACTCTCACCAACAGCAAAATGTAGACACAAGACCAGCTCAGCTGGCAGCTCCAGCCTGCTCTGTGCTTCCTAAATTAGCTCTGGGCTTCAGAGCCCACACATTCCTGGAAGCTGGTGCTTCTGCAGGTGGACTTTGGACGTGGAAGGAAGCATTTCAGATCTTAACTTGCAGTGAAGTAGTCCCTGCCTCCCACTTTATCAAGAGCACCAATGGGGACAGCTTCTACCCCACCGATGCTGCTCGCCAGATGGGAAAGGGATTGCCAGGTGGGAAAGGGATTACAAATACATTCTATTATCTTTAAAAAGAGAATAGGTTCAATTGGCTAAGCCTCTACACCTCCAACCCCTGGCATCTCACAAGGCCAGCAGTTTGTGTCCCAGCTGCTCCACTTTCCTTCCAGACTCCTGCTTGTGGCCTGGGAAAACAGTGGAGGTTGGCCCAAAGCCTTGGGACCCTGCACTTGCATGGGAGACATGAACAGGCTCCTGGCTCCCAGCTTCAGATCGCCACAGTTCTGACTGTTGCAGCCACTTGAGGATTTAACCAGTAGGTGAAAGATCATTCTGTCTTTTCTTCCCTCTCTGCGAATCTACCTTTCAAACAAAAATAAATCTTTTTCTAAAAAAAGAGAGTAAGCTGTAACATTAAGCCTTGCCTGCTCTGAAAAATTCATAAACAAACCCCAAGTCTGGATGGATATGCTCAAGAAAGCCTGTGCATGGTGATACCCCAAGGTAACACAGAACTACCAAGCCCTTCCTCTCTGCAGCGTGCTGGAGCCCTGAGGAAAAGCAAATGGGTTTAGGGATTCAGCTCTACCAGCTCCGTGTGGATCTCCACAGTAGGCACTTTTGGCCCTCTGTGGCTGGAAGGATCGCCCCAACTCTTAGGATTTCAAATTGATGTGAGGCCAAGGGTGCTGACATTTCTGTTAATACTGTTAAGAGTGGTGCCTCAGGTGTAGAATAAAGACAAGACAGAGTTTGGATGCTTTCTTGAATGACTACTTAGTAAGCAACTGTCATTCTTATTACAGGGGGAATTTACCATTTGGGAAAATTGCTTTGAAGAGTCATTTGGACAAAACATCTATGGGGACATAGGTAACACAGAAACCAAAGCTCTGAGCAGAGAGGAAATTAGGTTGGGGTTGTCTCCATGAGCAGTGGGGAGAAAGAAATGAGTGGGGAAAAACAGGTGGCAGAGGAAAAGGAGACAGCCAACCAAAGAAATGGTGGAAATAGTTGGGAAACTCGTTGGGGTAGACCAGTAGTCTTCACCTGCCTGAGGACCCTGACTGAAATATAAATCTCTTCTGCAAATTTCAGTCTCCCAGGATACAGAGGCTCTCCTGTGGGCTGTTTTGGGAAAAGCCAACAGAGCACCAAAGTTCATCCTCAGCTTGCCATGGTATAAGGCAGAGCTGTACAATGGAGCTTCCTGGACCATCCAATATGGCCGACTGCAGTTACAAGTGACTGTTGAGCATCTGAAATGTGACTGATGCCACTGCTGGTGAACTTCATTTTAATTTCATTTTAGCTGAATAGCTCCATGTGGCCAGTGATGCCGAATGGCATGGAATGACTAAAGGTGACATATGCAGGAGAAGAGTTCTGCGTATGGTGGTCCTGAGAAAATACATGCCTTAGGTTTTGCTTAAATCTTAGGATGGGCTTGGGAGTTAAACTAGGAGTGAAGGTAGGTGCTGGGGTCAGAGAGGCGAGCTTAAACCAATTTTACCTAGATCGTGAAGTAAAAAAAAAAAAAATCCCAAGCTGACAACAGGGTTACAAACGTATTCTAGTTTTAATTTTTACTTATTTGAGAGGCAGAGAAAGAAAGGCACAGACACACAGGGAGAGTTGTCATACACCTGGGGCTTGGTCAGGGCAACATTTCAGGCCTGCCGGGTGGGGGACGGGAACCTAACTGAGCCATTAGCGCCACTTCCCAGGGCCAGTGCTCTTGGGAAGCTGGAATCAGGAGCCAGAGCTGGGACATGACCCAAGGTAGTGAGTAGGAGGTGGTGGCATGCAAACCTAGCAGCTTAACCGCAGGTCAAATACCCACCCCCCACAAAGGCACTGGAAAGAAAAGGAATAGAGAATCACCATACAAGCAACTTGCAATTTTTAAGAATAGTCACGGTGGGTTGTGCATTCACTTTGCAGAGTCTAAGCTAACAAATGCCTGAGTTTATGTCCAAACATCTTGTGGCAAATCCACGGTAGTCATGACGATTGGCATAAGGCAGGTGCTTAACCTGCATTCCTGGATGACTGAATGCCTAAGTATCTTCTTTCAACCACTTGAGTCTCACAACATCCCCCAGAGGCAGCTGAGGCTCTGAGACACAGGGTAGGAAGTCCATAAGAATCCAGAGTCCTTTTAGTGTTTTGGTTCATTCAGACTATCCCTCCAAGCTCCTCTGAAGGCCCAGTCTGGGCTGAGTATGTCAACGTGGTGAATGTTCCACAGGCTCAGACACCTGACCTGGCCCTGGCTTCACACGCATCCACGGTGCCTTCTTCCTTCTCCCGTCCCTGCACTCCTTCTTCAACCCCCAGCAGAGCCCATAGCAGGCTCCTTTCTGCGTCCCCACTGCCTGGCAAGCCAGACCCTGCCAACGCTAAAGGACTGAAGAAATGCATGAATGATGTCACAAAGACGCTTTCCCACTGCTTTTAAAAACAATTCTTTACTTTGGAGAAATAATATTGATGCATCTCTCTAAACCCCTTCCCTGCCCCAGATTGGTTCAGCTCCGGCCATTGCAGCCATCTGGGCAGTGAACCAGTGGATGGAAAATCCTTCTTCTCTCCTTCTCTCTCTGCGTATTTGATCTGCCTTTCCAACAAAAATAAAATAAATCTTTAGATCTATTGACTTGGGATCAGGTGGCCATTTTTTGAGACATAGCAGCTAGACTTTTAACTATTACATAAATATGTGACCTGTCTTCAGGAAATGCTCCAACAGCTTTCCTTAAAGGAAGGATCATTGCTAACTTTTTTTTAGTAACTCTAAGTGTTTATATTTTCACCTCAAGTTGGATGTCTGAGGTGATCTTACAAATAGCACCACTCGCAGCCAAAGATTCCCAACTCACCCTACATGAGGCCATTTCCCAGTTTGCCCAACATGTTCCTATTATCAGCCTAATAGTTTGTCCCAGGTTCATAGGCTTACATATAACTCACTTGTGAGTTCCATCTGGAAGAAAAGAAGTTACTTTGTGCAAACTAAGCACTGTGGAGGTTCAAACGAGACATTTACTGCTTTATAATATTTCTAAGTTGTTTGAAAGTTGTACCAGATAACTGTTACCCAAATTCTCTATAGACATGAGTTCTGCCATCTGCGGATTTGACCAATTGTGGATCAAAAAATATTTGCGGAAAAGAAAGAAATTTGTGTTGAATATGAACAAATCTTTTTTTTGTTTGTTTGTTTGCTTGCTCGTTAAAAAATACATGACAACAGTTATTCACATAGCATTGGCATTGTAATAGATGTCAAAAGTAATCAAAAACGTTTTTAACACGTCCCAAAGGAGGTACACAGGTCGTATGTAAATACTACATGGTTTTTAAAATAAGGGACACAGCATCCTCTGACTTGGTTTGTATTTTGGTATGTGATTTGGTGTTGCTTTGTGGCAATTTGAAATGTTTATAGCAAAGTATCCTAATGCAGTTAACAAAACGCATATTTATAGCTTTAAAAAAAACAGCAAAAAACCCAGCAACTAAGACATTTTCAACTATTTCAAACCTGCACCTAAACGACTGGCAGTTGTGGGTGCAGAGTCAGCCTGGCGATGCTGGACTCACCTTTCCAAAGCTGGCGGCATTGACGGGCTGCGTGTCGTTCTTCTCGCAGAAGTCCAGGTAATGCATGTAGAGCGCGCTGCGGGGGATGCAGACCCCCTCTGCAATCTCATAGTTCTCCTCCAGCCTGGGGGAAGAAATGCCCAGTGAGCCAAAAAAAAAAAGTGTGCTCCCTGCCCCAGGCCACAGGAGGCTCCGCTGGAGCTACAGTTGGGGAAGCTGGGTTAGAAGGCCAATGCAAGCTGTCCGAGGCCACGGGAGGAGTCAGTGGATGAGCAGAATCAGGGTATTGACCGCTTTGGCTGTGACCACAGGCCACTTTTCCAGCACAAACTCCTAGTCCCTTTATTCTGTGCTGCTTCTGGACTGGCTACTTGTAGCTGGCTCAGTTTGCCCCAGGGTCCATGAAATACATGGGGTCTTGCAGGAGCCCCACTGGGTCAGGCTTCAAAGTGCACACCTGTTTGAGGAACCATTTACAAAGATACCTTAGAAGGTTCATGGAAAATTGAATGAAAAGATAAATTTGTTTGGATGGAAAACAGGTTTGAAGTGTTCAAAAATGTCATAGAAGTGAATATTTTGAAAAACACAATAATTTGAAAATTTTTGTTCTGAAATGAACATCATCTCTTCCATGAACTTTTTCAAGTCTGCTCATGAGAGAATAAAAGCCTGAGGATGTTGGTGTCAACCTGTTGTGGCCTCTTGGCTGACAAAGGCAGTGGGGAGAGACGGTACTGCTTTCTCAAACTACAGATACATCTACCACACAGGCTAGCTACCCTGCTTCTGGGTGTTCGGCCAAGGGAAGTAAAACCAGCATATGAAAGAGATACCTACATTTCCACATCTATCACAGAAATAGTCACAGTAGCTAAGAAATACAATCAGTCAAAATTAGAATATTCAGTCTAACATTGGAACATTCAGTTAAAAAAAAAAAGGAAAAATAGAAGGTATCCAACTATTTGCAGCAGAATAGATGGAACTCTAGATTATTACGTTAAGTGAAATAAGCCAGACACAGAAAAACAAATACATATTCTCTTTGATATGGGGAAGTTAAAAGAAAAACTTTCAGGAAAAGTGGTAGGAGTGGAGTGAGAAGAAAGATGGGTAATAGGGACTGAAACACAGCCAGAAAGAAGCAACCAGTTCCAGGGATCCACAGCACAGGGTGCTGACTGTCACTCATATAATGTGCCCTGTGCCGGAGGCAGAGGGGGGCGAAAGGATCCGACAGACTCCGAACATGGGAGCTAAGAAAATGGGAAGGCCAGTGCCTGCTTTGCTTTATTGTACTGTGCCCCATAAAGTGTACAATTATTATGCTAGTAACAAATTTTCAAATAATGACTTTCTTCTTTTACATTCTGAGAGGGAAGCTGGATAGTTGGATAGAGCCTAACCACTTGACCAAGAGCTGTTCCCTAACCATAGCAGAGAGTTCTTTAGTTTTTAAGATTTTTACTTTGAATTTTGAATTATGTGGTACAGTTTGGTATAGGCTTGGATTTCCCCCCAATCTCCCACCCCACAACAGATTTTCCCCATTTTACTACAATGGTATAGTCCTTCATAAGGAATCATAATTCTATCAGTCTCTTATTTAAGTGTACCCTGATATTGTTGGTACAGACAATGTCAGACAGTCCAGCATTCCATTGTCTACACATGTCCAACAGTTTCATTGGGAGTCCATCTTTCATCTGGAAGCAGGGATGCTTGTTCCATTATTCCCCCACATCTGTATATGGTAGACCTCAGCACTCCATCACTATACATTTCCATAATTGAGAAGCCATGAAACAAGGTCAACAACTGGTATGAGTTAGAACAGTCACAACAACAACAAATTACAGCACCATGAAAAAACGTGCCACTGAGTAACCAATACATGAGTGACAAAAAGGAAACACAAAAGTCTCTTGGGAAAAATGATGCCACCCTGTAATCCATGAGCTAGTGATGAATTCGACAAGAGAAAAGAAATTATTTGGAATAAACAAAACTGAAATAAAAAACATCAAAACATATGGGATACAAACAGACAAACAAACAAACAAAAAACAGTATGGATTGGATTATCGAAGTTAAACTTTCCATGCTGGTTTCCTTATATAAGAGAGAACATATGGTATTTGTTCTTTTGTGATTGACTCATTTCACTGAGCGTATAATGGTCTCTAGTTGGGACCACCTAGTTGTAAATAGTATAATTTCATTCTTCCTAATAGCTGAATAATATCCACGGAGTAGATGTACCACAGCTTCTTTAACTACTCTTCTTTGGATGCACATCATGTCTTTGCTATTGTAGATTGTGCTGCTGCAAAATAGGATTACATATCTCCTTCTCATATGCAGATTTCACTTCTATTGGGTATATTCCTAGGAGTGGGATAGCGGGGCCATATGGCAGGTTTATTTGCAATTCTCCAAGCACTCTCCATACTGATTTCCATAGTGGTTGTACTAGCCTGCACTCCCACCAGCAGTGAAGGAGGGTGCCTTTCGGGAGTTGACCTCTTCTAGAAAAATTATCCATCTTATTCATTCACTTTACTTCCATTTTTATTTGTGAGGTAGAGATGGGGTCAGAGTGCTTCAATCTGCTGGTTTACTCCCCAAATGCCCACAGCACTTAGGACCAGCCCAGGGTCATTCCATTAATTATTTAAGCCATCATTTCCTGCCACCCAGGGTACACATTAGGGGAAGGCTAGAATTGAACAGAAACTGGGGCTTGAACCCAGATGCCCTGATAACCTAAGTGGTAGCTTAACTACTGTGCCAAATAGCCACTTGGGGAGCTGATGTCTTGATTACCTCATGTCCTTTCCTGTACTAGGAATGTAAGTAAAGGTTAGGGATTCCATAGGAGAGAGTTCCCTTGTCACTTGTTGGTGTGGTGATCTTATTTAAGATGTCTAGCCTTTGGCCTCAGTTTCCTTTTGGAGATGGTAATTCGTAACTGCTTCCTAAGGTGGCTGTGACGGGCAGAGGAGGAAATACATGCCATGTAATAGCACAGTTCCTGGTAAGCACTTAGCAGACTTTAGACCCTATCATCATCCAATCTGAGACACCTAGATTCTGTGCTAAATATCAGTAATATTTTTTTAAAAAAGGAGATAGTTTTATTCTTTAATTCAATGCTAGAATTCAGATATCCAAAGGAATCCTGTATCCATTGTGACAGACATGTTGGAGGATCAGACACCTCCTCCAGAAACAATCTGGCAGCTTTTAACAATGTGGAAACTTCTCTTTAGGCCTTGAGTTGGGAGCCTGGGTCACAGCCTGCTCTGTCCATTCACCAACTGAAAAACATTTCTGCTTTGATCCTGAGTTGGCTTTTCGGAAACAACCCACAGTCATTGGGGAACAAGTTTGGGTAATAAAGTGACTAGAGTAGCCTTTGTCCCCTAGATTTTTTTTTGGTCAAAAATAAGGCATGATTCTAATGCAATGAAATAAATGTCCTCAGGCAGCTTTGAACTAACTCTGAGAGCACTTGCCAGAGAAATGGTCCAGGGCTGTCGTAACCCAAGTGGAATGAGGACACGGCCTCCTGAGGTTCCCACTTGAAAGGGAAGCACTCATTCAGCTCATTCCAATGAGGGAGTGAAAAGACAACCAATTCAGTTGTTTCATATTGCAACCCTGTGGATGAACACAACCCTAGGAACACAGAGGCAAATGAAGAAGCCAGCTTACCAGGTGGACCTGGGCCAGCTCATCCATGTGCCCCTCTTCTGGGAAGGGCTACAACTAAATGACTGATGATTTTTAGAAATGTTCCAGGAGGTAGTTTAAGTAACCTTTTTTGGGTGATGAAATTCCTTGAGGTTGGAATGATGGATCCTTTAAATCCAGTCTATTCCTTGGCATGCAACACGTGGTTAATGGATAGATTATTTCAGTTGCTTTTTCATCCAACAAATGCTTATTGATTTCTTGTTAGCCACGAAGCTGGGAACACTATGGTAAGTGGGATGGCCCTTGTTTACATTTAGAATGCAGATTAAGGGTAGATGGATATAGACCTACACTCAGCAAGGATTTACTGAGCTCCAGGCAGTGTTTTAGACATCATTACAGAAGTAGTGGTGGAATGACGCCAAGGAACTAGAACTCTGGGTTTCCCTGGATGAAACTGGTTCCACAGAATGAATAGCTTGTGGGATTAGCCTGGACCCTGACCTGACATTCATGATATTTTTTTCTGACAGTGGGTTCCAGGATCCAGGGGGCCAGTTTATGCACCAGCTTGTAGAGATCATCCAAACAGGACAGCGTTCACAAACTGGGGTCTTACAGACATGCTTTATTTGGCCTGAACAGTGTTGGCCCAACTTTTAAAATCCAGGACATTTCACATAAGAATCTGGATTTCTGGCTTCTTTGAAAAAGCTGAGTTCTGGCAACCCTGGACTCATAGCCCCGCATGACAACAGTTGGCCTGGGTTACATGCGCCCTGGAGTTGGCTGGAGTCCTTACTCCTCCCTGTTTTTCTTACAACCAGTTCATTTTCTGTTCCTTGCCTGGCTCCTGGAGGCATCTGTGCTGGCACAGACACAATCTATGTCATAGTTCACTGTGCAGTTTACTGGGGGAAAATTGTTCAGAAGAAATAAAAGTAGATCAGTACACCAACTCCTGGACACAGGTACAACTGGAAGTGGAAAGAGGTCAGAGTATGGATGAAAACAGATGATCCAAAGTTCACAGAGCAGTTGGGGTTGGAATATCGTGCCAATAAACAAGAACATCCAGCATTTGTTGAGCTTTCACAAGGACCCAGTCACAGCACATCCTTTATCTTATTGGACCCTCATAATAACCATTATGAGGGAAATGCTATGCCTGCCTTGTGGATTAAAAAATGGAGCCTTAACAAGTGTGGCCCATTTGCCCAGGCTCACGTGGCTGGTTCAGAGGTGAGTTTCTCTTGGAATCTCTGGTATTCTACCACGGTATTTGGAAATGGGTTCCAGGCCAAATGAGCAGCAGGGATGACAGAAAGATGCGTCATGTGTTTTGGATGATGGACATGCTGGTCTGAGCAGAGAGGTGAGGCTTGAGACGAGGCGTCAAAGAGGAAAGAATTGTGGACAAGG